GTAGATGTTGTCAGTTGGGTGTCAACATATCATCAACATTAAACTCCAACGATATTAGTGCCTTGCAAAATAATTACATATGCATTACTTTTAAATTAGTAATGTGTGTATTTATCCTCCAAAATTTAACTTCAGGGAACAATAGTCACCACAATTACTAATGGTTAAACCAAATTTATTGAATGGATGATAATAAATAAATTACACTTAGATATTATATACAACAATGAGAAATTTTTATTTGAATAGTAAAAAATATATTAAAATCACAACAAAAATATAGTTGTGAAATACCTCTTCGTTATATAACAAATTCATAGAATTTGATGATCAAAAGATTAAAAAAAAATCTAAGCTACAATATGTTGGTTGACAGATAAATAAACCAGTAAACACATGAGGTGAGTTGATAACCAAAGAAAATAAGAATGACTGTGAGAAAAATGATTATGAAAAGAAAAAGAATGATGATAAAAGAGGCAAATGAATGGTGAAATGAAGAGCATATTAATGTCAAAAAATACTTTTAAAAGTAAATATATATTTACATTGAAGGATATTAATGTCAGTATAAATAAAAATGATCCAATTAAAGGTTTGGTCCCAATTTCTTTTTTCAATTGGATCAGTTGGTCCAATCCGGATTTAATAACAACTATGATTTAGATTCATAATCCACAAAACAGTAAAAATGACAAATTCTCATAATTAAAATAACATGTTAGACTTATAAAGAGGAAGAGGTGACTTCATAGTTAAAACTACAAATTCTCATGTAGATTAATGATAATCGATAAACAGAGAAAACATAGTAAGAGAAACCAAAGAAGGAAGATAAGTTTTAATCTGGCATACACAGTAATAATGATTTATGGCAACAACACAACAATCATTCTGCCAATGATTTACATGTGACCAAAAGGCACAAGATCTTTGTGCAGGCATTTCTTTTGATTTTATGCTTTACCAGTATGAATGACTAGTGAACTCCAGCTAACAAAGACTTTTCTAGATCCATCATTATATATTTTATATCCATAAAAAGGTTCAGCATAGATAAAACTGCAACCATGGCAAAAGAATCAACGACACAAAAATAAAGCATTTCATGTGTTTAACAGCAGCAACAATAACAAATATGTTTTGGTGCTAAAAAGGTCTTCAGAAAACCAGAACTATTTGAAATGAGATCAAAATCTGATAGAAGCTTGTCATATGCTTCAGTTTCATATTGTGAAAAATCAGGAGATACTACCATAAGCTATACCTGTTTGGCCACTCTCTGTGACGACCTTAAAATCTTCAGTATTGAAGGACTGTAAAGGGTTTGATAATATTTTTCTTCGCAAGTGACAGCTTGCACAGTATTCTACATCAAAAACCATAGAATCCTCCAGAGCTGAAGTGATAGAAGCACCAATAGCCTCACCTGCACACAAGAAAAAAAGCAGTATAATTGGTCGACAACCGGATCTGATCATATGGGCATGATTTTTGGATGTGACGCTAGACATCTCAAAAACATACCCTATGGAGAAAAAAAACTAAAAAGCAAACAAAAACTAATTTTCTACTCATGTACAAAGAGTAAGATGAATCAAGGGCAACAAGGCAATGACAATGGCGTTGTCAAACCCTAAGTGATGCAGAAAGATGAAACCAAACTTCCATTTTTTTCACATGCTGCCACAAACATATAACAATGAGAAAACCATATAGCAAATTGAATTTATCCATGACAACGAAATTTAATTTCAGGAGTAAATTTTTACTTGTAGGCTGAACAATATCCAGCAATTTCACATCACTACATATTTACAGATTATATAAGAGAAATAACGATGAGTTTATATTTAAGTGATAATGGATGAATATATAATATATGTTTGGAAACATGCACTAACCATGTGAGACTAGCAGCAAGTTTTCATTGGGATATTTGTCAGCAAGAGCACGAATAACACTCACATATCTTTTTCTTGCTTCAAGCACAGATTCCTCCCAATGAGGCAACTTCAGAAAATACAAAAATAATTAATTCATTTTATGAGAGAGAGAAAAGCAAAATCTTACAGCTGCAAGTATCCCAAAATCTAATAGGTATATGCAGGAACAGAACATTCTGAACGAGCAATTAAAAAATGTATCAAGATAAACCTCTTTATAAACACTCTCTGCAGACTGATCCAACGTTCCAGATGGCAACAAAGCTCCAAGATCAGAGATATGAGGAAACCATTTTTTATCTTTTGGAGCCACGGTACTACCTACTGCTTCTGAGTTTAGCATCTCAGATAATCCGTACTCAATCGAGACCTGCGGAATGGACAAACAACAGTTCAAGTTAAAACAAGCTCTCAGATGAGGAACAATACAAAACAAATACAGAAGGCTAATTTTTTGACAACTTAACATACAATAGCACGTGGAAAGATATATGTTATGCTCTCAAAAGAAGCCAAGTAATGGTATGAAAAAGTATTACAGAAAGAAAGAAGAATGAGATAAATGTAGAGAAACATCGAGAGGGGAATTAACTGATAAAGAGGGGAAGAGAGAAAATGGCTTCTTTTTTTATACAATCTTTTTTGTAATATTTTTTGTACCATTACTTGGCTTCTTTTGTGAGTAAAGATGAAATTAGATCACAAAAGTTGGTAACAGATCAGATTTGATTTCTTTGACTCTGAAGTTTAGATAGCCTATGTTCTAATAGTACCAACTAGAACATTTTTTGTGAATATTGCCCTTCTTTGTCAATGCTGTCCTTGAGCATGAGTTCCATTAACTTAAGTTTCATCTCCCAGGGGCTTCCATGTGCTGCAGTGATGATTGGAGTGTCCAATTACTCATGGAAAATCCAAACTGAGTTAACTTTCCAGTTAAAGCTGTCGACAATAACTTGATGATGTGAAATGCCTATCCTTGTAACTACATTTGAATTATGTAATAAAGGCATTAAAACATGCAGAAAAAAATAAAAGAATATTTGAATGCTCTTAAGTGAAATAGAAATATTGCATTACAAAGAACTCGATGGTGGAAAAAAATCATGTAAATGATCACAAAAAGTTACAGCTTCTTGTTGTTGCTGTAGGCATTAAAGCATGCTACAGATGATAGATGAACCTACAAATTTGCTTTCTTCAGATCAATTCCAAATTTTTCATCAATTTTCAAAAGACCTGGTTGGATGATATTGTTCATAAGAAGTGATAGAACAGCATAGGTTAAGTGACTAGAAGAAAATCTTGATTATAGATTAACATATAACATAACAATAAATCTTAGTCGCTTCGTTGTTGGTTTGCTACATTATAGAAAGATCAACGAATAAAGATTTTGACTGGGCTTGAATCTCATCTTCACCACTTACCCGTTGCAAAAAAAATAAAAAATAAAACTAAATTTTTTTTATTTTCACATAGGCTGAATTTGCAATGTTATCATCATAGATGTATTGGTGAGAGTAAAGACTGCAGCAAGGACATGATTCAAGAATGTTGCAAAAGTTATAAAAGGAAAAGTTAAAGGGAAACCAACATACTAAGACAATACTCTAAAGGAGAAAAAAATTCTCAAAATAAAATAAAAATCTAATACCTGCAATATAGTAAAACAGAAAATTCAGCTTTTTTTCCATTTCTAGTATGATATGATAGAAAACCATAATTTCATGAACTACTAGGAAAAGCAAACCAGAAAAGGAAATAACTTCTAAAAACTTCGTTTGCATTTCCTAATCTTCCTGAGAAGATATGATGAAAATCCCAATATATTGAACCAGTTTCTAACAGATATCACAATGATAAAACCTTAAACAAGGTTTTAGGTAGAATTTTTTTAAAAAAATAAAATTTACAGTGTATTCAATCTCGATTGCGTTTATGAAGAAATTTAGGCCATCCAATATGAGAAAACAATTTGCTTATGAGTTCAATTGTGAAGTAGCTCAAGGTTGCAAGCATCTTTTGAGAACCTCAATCTAATCTGGCTCGAATTTAAAAGGAATGAAGTGAAAAAGCAACTTTTTCTGTAGAATTATCATTTTCTAAGACTCAAATAAGCTAAAGTTGACCTAAGACTACCAATATGGGTAATAGTAGGCCAAATAAGCTAAGCATCACTCTTAAGATGACTAAGACCACGGATATGGGAAAGATGGCCTTTGAATGGCCCAAGGACACTTCACAATATGGAAAAAAATAATTTATGAATCTAAATTCCAGCTGTTTGGCAATGATTATAGGCTATTTATGAATCTAAAAGACCCGAACTATTCAAGTTGGAAAAAAAGAAAAAACATCTCTAATCATCCTGCATCACACGTTAACCATAAAATAAGTGGATATGCAAGTTACAATGACACCCATAGATTAACTACTGCAGTACACCTTTCTTGGTGACAAGCTGTTTCTATACTATTTATACAAGACATTA